GCGTCGAAGTCAATGCGTGAAGTCAGCATCAACGCAAGACAGAATGAATGTCAAAGCCTGGAAGTCAACTCTTATGTAGTGTTGACGCGGGGTCTGGACCCCGGAGGCTGTATCCCTCGACCGTCCACATCTCAATGCGAACGAGGCCTCAGATCGGTTTGGAACCGAATTCCCTCCGGCCTGGATGCTGTCTGGGTTCCTGCGCACAACAATTGAGTGTATCCAATCTAGGGCCTGGGTGAAGTACCTTTGACTCTACAGTTGACTTTGACTCTTGGATTTCCTGTGTGCAGCGTTCGGTCACACAGCCACGCTAGACAGACTCAGGCCTGGGCATGTCTTCGTCACACAGCCCAGTGTAGACCTTCTCAGGTCTGCATGGCCTGGGGCTGAGTTCTGAGCCCCAAGCTACTTCTGAACAGGGTTATTACAAGGCTGAGAGTAGCCAAGCTGGGGCAATTCAATTACTTCAGATGGAGGCAATGGACTGGATGGGCCAGTTCGGGTATCGAACAAAGTTGCCAGAGGAGAGTGAGGAGGAGAAAAATGCTTCTGTGATTAAGATGGCATCAGCAGCAGACAAGGAAGAGAAAGACTTGCTGCTGGAGGAGAAGAGAGCAAAACTCAATAATAAGCTGGTGGGTACGAGAAGGCAAGTATATAATGATAAAAAAAAGTTGAAAGAGGAGGGCGAGAGATTACAGATGCTGCTCAAGGAACAAAAGGTAAGGAAGCTGCCACAGACGAACGATTAACCCTCCTACCTGACACTCTTCTCCATACTAATGAAGAACTTGCTGCACTCCATCGGTCTGTTGGTAAGCTCGAAATGCATCAAGTGGAGTTCGAGGGAATTTGGAATAACTTCCTGCGCAACGCCTCTGAACAGATAGATCACCGAATCATCGGTTATATAGAACAGCTAGATAAGGCCCTCTGCAAGAAGCTGTCCGACCCTGCCGTTATTAGACGATTGAAAATTAGAGTTGGGGGAGGAGATGGAGGAGATGGAGGAGATGATGGTGACGATGACGGTGACAAGAAAGGGAAAGGTCTGGTCGCAGGGGTAGACCACAGCGACAATATAAGGTTAGGTTTGCATACCAGGAACCTTCAGAGGATCACCGGTTTACGAGAGATGAACTGATTGAGACAGCGCCGCATATTGTGTCCTACTACGAGAGGGATAAGAGAGGGATTAACATAATAGGTAGGTAAAGTTGATAACTTTCTGGAGGACCTCAAAATTAGGCCGGCGAGAGTGAAAGGCCTTCCACGGTTCAGCCCCCAAATTCGAATTTCAGGGTCAAGGGCCTAGGCCAAGAAAAGCCAAGTCGGTCAGTGTCAGAGAAGTCACAGTCGGGTACCTTAGGAGTCAAGTCCAGCAGGCACCCGGTGAACAGTCACATCCCAGGGGCAAAAGTCACGTCTCATATTGAAGAGCCATATTGAAAAGTCATGTTCCGCAGGCAAAGGACACTTTCCCAAGCAAAAGTCGTGTCCCAGAGGCAAGAGTCACAACCCACAGTCAAAAGTCATGTTTCACAAGTGAAGAGTCGTGACTCCCAGGACTAAGCAGCAGCAGAGGCAAGAGTCACAACCCACAGTCAAAAGTCATGTTTCGCAAGTGAAGAGTCGTGACTCCCAGGCCTAAGCAGCAGCACACCAATGAAAATTCGGGAAAGGTACCAGGCCCGGACAGGCCAGCCTCCTCATTCGGGCAGATTGCTCATTCGCATGAAGTGTGGAAGTGCTGGTGCACTTGTGCGCCATTGTGAGGAGCGGAGCGCTAAGCCAGGGCGCTGCGCTGTTAGAGGGAGAGAGAGAGGGAGCAGCCATAGCTGTGCCCGTGCTTAGTAGTTAGTAAAGATAGCAGTGGGTGTATTCAGAGCTGGTCCTTGAGTGGTAGAGAGTGTGAGTGCATGCAGGTAGGGAGAGAAGACACAGTGAGGAGGACATAGGCAGAGAGAAGACCAGAAGAGAGGAAAGAAGGGAGAAGCAGTGAGAGTGCTCACTTACCTGTGTGATGATGATACTTGATATTGGTTACTTGGCATTGCGCTGATGAGCGCTTGTGACTGGAACTCTTAATTGATCATGTGTTAATCAGTTGGAATTTCTTAAGCTGCGCTATTGGTCTTCGACTCTCTGTACTACAGTGTGATTTCGTGCGATCTCATTTGTGCATGTATGCATGCGTGTGCATTCATTGATGACGAACTGAGAGGTTCGTTGCAAACATACCAAATTGCAAACAAACCGTGCAAGGTGTCTTATGTCAACAAATGGAACACAAGTTCAACACTGTTGACTTCTCAAGTCAATTCTCCCATTCACTTACAGGCCTAGCTAACTGGACGCATATGACCAAGTGCAGCTGACAATGTCCACCCTCATTGTAATCAGATACATCCCCCAGAAAGAGGTCCAGTGCAAGGACTATAGCCTCCTCGATCACTGCGAAACACAAAACCTACACAACCTGCAGGAACGCTATATCTGCCAGCCGAAATGCCAACTCAAATATAATTCCAAACCGATTTGGGGCACATTCATATACTCACAAGATTTCACTGTATGTACTTGGTCGTCAATGTGGCCCGATAAATTGAAAATTTCATAACGTCCATGTACGATTTATCCCCTCGTAAATCATTGCCAAAAAGCACAAAACTAACTAAGCAAACAAGCAGGAAGGCACATGGATCTGCCACGTGGCTGATCGCACAGACAGCAGGGGACCTGGACAAACGTTTAATGGTTTTGCGAGGCACAGGGCCTCAATATGCCCTACAGGGCCTATTTTTCACACAGTCGGCCGCCCTAAGTGAAGGCAGGCACGACCGAGGCCTACAGGCCATCTTGGGGTCACCACACAACTGGGGAAATTCAGGCAGCTGCGCAGCGCCACTTGGTTGGAAGCGCCCAGGCAGAGGCTGCCTTTCATCGCATGTAACTGAGGCAGGCCCTGGGCCAGATACACAAAGAGGACCGAACAAAGGCTGAGGGCGGTTGGGTGCTGGTAACCACCACAGGCCCTGGGCCTGTTTACTTCGAACTGAGGCTCAGCCTCGTGGGGCCTACCCGAAGCTTCTGGGCAAGGGCCCAGTACCGCACTACTGCATGCAGCAGCAGGCCACTTCGATATAGAGAAGGGCCTGCCTACGCATTGGACATTCGGGCACTGGCTGCATGCTAACGCTGGCCAGGCTCACGCGCTCACGGGCGAGCTGAAAGGAGCAGGCAGCCATAGTCGAGTTGCGTTGCTGTATGCTGGGTGGGGCGCATGGGGGTCCTTGGGTGCAAGAGGCATCTGTGAGTTGGGGAATGAGGTTGTGAGTGATACGAGAGACATACCTGGTGCTTGAGGCGTGCGGCATTGGCCGAGATCTGCTCGTACTTGGGAAGTTGTTGACGTCATCAGCGGTATTGTAGTCTAGGCTAGATAGGATCTGCCATTCGTAGTCTGGGGGCCGAGCGCCAGATAGGATATCAACATTGGTTCTTCGTTGATGATGATGAGACTATTCCCGCATTGTCAATTATGAGCTTTTGGTGTGCTCTTATTTGGTGAAACTCGTGATGCAATTTTGCTATTGGTTCGAGGTCATGACTATCTGGTCTCATGAGTATGATGCTGTTTGATTTCTGAAGTTCGCTATTGCTCATCTTCCTTTGCAATTTGGTATCAGAGCTGTGGTTCGGTGCGCTAATCTGGCGCTTGTCTTCTGACAAATGCGGTACATGCACGCGGTGTGTGTGGTGAGCGACTGTGCCGTGGGACGTGTGTAGTGAGGAGGGCGAAGATAAGCAGGCGACTCAGGTGGAGAGGGGATCGCCAGGAAGGCTAAGCGGTGATTATTGGGTGTTCGCTTTGTGATGAGAACTATTCCAGTGTATGATTGATGCTGAGGTGGAACGGTGGTACAATGCTGGTTGTGTCGAAGCAGCAAATTTTCATCACAATCAACATCGGGTCATCTGGTGAGAATATCTGTGGTTGGGGGTAGCTATTTTGAGGTACGTTGCACCTAGCCTTATCTACCCTCTTCGACACTTCTTACCATGAGGATGTGTGTTCTGTCTTGAGAGTCCTCTCATGTGAGGAGTCGTGTACGCTCAACCTTGAGAGTCGTCATTCTTCATGTGGAGCATCTGGAAGGAGAGGGCGGTGCTATCTGCAGGGCCCTGGACGAAGCACTGGGTCACGGTCACCATGCCAACCCACCGGGAGTAGAGCACGCATGCTTTGCTGCTTTGTCCTTTGTCTGCTCGCTGCGCTGTAGAGGGGTTCTGAAAGGCAGGCCAGCCCTATGGGACAGACCAGACCGGACGTCTATAAATAAGCACAGGCGGGGAACCTTCCATTGGTTGTGATCGTCGTCCTGTTTGCGACGTTAAATAATTCATGAGGACTTTGTGGGCTGTCCATAAAAACGTCTCCTGATCAGCCAATTGGTCGTTGTAAGGCACGCTGCACGCGAGGATAAAGACTGTGCAGGGCTGGCCAACTCAGCAGGACTCGGGGCACAGGGGTGGGCCGTGTGCACACCTTTAGACATGTTGTTGAGCGCATTGGCCCCCACCATTTTGCAAAGGCGAGAGTCGTCCCGGCCATGTCACGTGGGAGTAAAACGAAACAAAACAAGAGACAACTTACGAACGACGCAACACATGCCGCGAGCTGCCGAGACGGTCGGGGTCGCGTCGTTTCGTCGCCGCTCTAGCCGGGTGCGCCAACTGTACATCTCGCGGTCCCCTACAACAGGACACTTTCCCGTGGGGCATAAACTTTCTTCCCTAAGGGGTTGTCACCACCCTTCGGGGCGTATCCCTACCGAGCTACCGACCCACGTGCGAAAGCTTTTACATGCAATTGCAGAAGTGGGTCGGTCAAGGGCGTTTGCTCGCTCGTTGTAGTATAGGTGCACGAGATTAAAACGCCAATTGAACCCGGACGTCGTCCGTTCCTTAGGGCGCTGATCTCCTAAGTACGAAGCGTACGCCGGTCGACTATATAAAAATAATCGATCGTGGTCAATAGGAAAATATTTTCAATCTGAAATAATGACAGATAGAATTCAAATCATCATTAGATACATACAATAAAACAGGATCGGAATACAATCCGACCATCTCAGGTCGAACATCACAAAACAATCAAACAACCACCAACAAGAAGTTGGCTATCGACAATAATATTGATGCAGTCGACAGGGTAGTTGCACTGCCTTAGTTTTGACTTGATGAGATGCGCTGCCAAAGTTATTCATTCTAACCCACCGCCAACTTAAGACTAGACCCACATATCCGTCTTCACACATTTCTAATCTTATTGGATGACAAACTGTTTTTTTTTAATGATTCTTGATCAGGTGCATTGCTTGAAGTGTTGCATATCTCCCTCTAGGAAGTGGTCTGGGGTACTCCTCCTCGCTCGAGCACAACGCTCGGATCTCAGAAGTCGCACCGTCTCCACCGAATCGGCAAAGTAACCCCCCATAGAACGGTCCGAGATAACAGGGTCGACTCCTAAAGCAACGAACCCCCGCCCCAGATGCTTCCTTAAAAGATGAGAATGTGTTCACCACAAGCAGGTTTTAACTGTTCCTGATTTTGTTTTTTTTTCTTGTAAGTTCAGGGTAACTTAGACGAAGAAAAGATAGAGGTGATAAAACGAGAAACATTTGTACGGGTATAGTTAGATAACGTCGTTCGAGATAGAATGTGTCAATCTTCGAAAAAAGGACCAAGTCCGTTTGACCTTATCTGCTTTCTTTCAATCGAATTCGTTTTTACAGTGCTAACACTGCATAATTAACATTTTTCAAAACAAGGAAACCTTCTTGACGTGCAGACAGGTGAGAAGTAAAAAACAAAGATAATCATTTTTCCTTTCCTAGAATAGGCATGATCAATCTCCTTTGCAAGCACCCTTCTACCTACCTGCACATACAAAAACAACCCCAGGTCCAGAAAATCCAGCAATCCACACTCCCATCAAATCCCACTTTTCACATTCATGACCATACACGCTTTACTCAACCTTTTCTTTTGGACATTCAAAACAAACAGGGTCAAACAAAGTGTGGGTTCACATACGTACGAAAAGGAATCTGAGTCGATCAACTGACTGACCTTGAGTGAAGTGGTGTCGAAGAAGCGCTCTGGCTCAATCAAGAAAGCCAAGCCGTGTGTGCCGCTGAAAGTTGTAGTCTCAAGGAAAATCCTGATCAAACCACCTCTCACTCACACGCCTCACCCGTGGTAGCCCAAACTTGAAGACGGCGAGCCACATGCGTTCCAGAAAAACACTCGGTCTGATACCACGTCAGTCCCAACTGGTCCCAAACGTTCCTAGATAGTCCCATCTGGTTCCATGTGGTCCCATGTTGTCAAACACTTCGTCGAATAACTGTTGAGTTGAAAACCGTTTCCACCACACTTCTCAAAAAAATAAAACCGGTGCCGAGTCCCAAAACTGCATACGTCGAGACTGCCGCAAATGATCGTCCACGTCCCACGTCAGTCCCAACTGAATTCAGGCAGTCCCAAGTAGTCAAGTCCCACTACCGCAAGTGTTGGGTAGTCCCAACTACAAAACATTTATCTCATGTGCCGCATAAAAAAAGAAACTTGCCTGTCGCGCTCAGATTTCGTACCATCGCATGCTGTCGACGACCACCATGTCACGCTGCTGCTGCCGTTCACACCAATGGTAGCAGACCTTCACCAAGAAAAGCAGACGCCGCGCCACAACAAAAACCTTTCAGCGCTGTAAAAAAAAAAACTTCACTGCCGCGCCGCACGTTCCACCGTTGTGCCGCAATTACATTGTCGTGCCAAACCCTCGTAAAAAAAATGGGCAGCGCTTCGCCGTGTCGTACCACCGTAAAAAAAACGGCAGCGCTTCGACGTGTTGTACCACCGTAAAAAAAACGGCAGCGCCACACGTCCCACCATCGTGCCACAATTCCATTGTCGTGCCGAACCCTCGTAAAAAATAACGGCAGCGCTTCGCCGTGTCGTACCATCGTAAAAAAAAAAAGAAAATAGAAGCGCTTCGCCGTGCCGTACCACTGTAAAACAAACGACAGCGCTTCGCCGTGCCGTACCACCGCAAAAGACGGCGGCGCTTCGTCGTGCCATACCACCGTAAAAAGACGGCAACGCTCCGCTGCGTTGTACTACCGTAAAAAAAAACGGCAGCGCTTCGCCGTGCCGTACCACCGTAAAAAGACGGCGACGCTTCGCTGTGTCGTACCACCGTAAAAAATGGCAACGCTTCGCCGTGTCGTACCACTTCAAAAAGACGGCAGCGCTTCGCCGTGCCGTACCACCGCAAAAAGACGACGGCGCTCCGCTGCGCTGTACTACCGTGCCGTGAAAACAGCAGCGTCACTCTTCAAAACAAAGTGTCGCTGACGTGCCGTGAAAACGACAGTGTCACCACTCAAAATAAAGGTGTCGTGCCGACGCCGCGGTATTTTGGCAGCATAACCCCATAAAAATGGGTTATGGTTGCCGAAAATATCGGCCAGCACACCTCCACCAGTTGTAGTGCTCCCCGTCGCTCCTTGCCACGCTCCACTACCGCTTCTCACCACGCCGCCGCAGAGTCCCCCTTGAGACCAGCCTGCCAAGGGGTGGAGCAGAGTGCTCCAGCCAAGGCTATGATTGTCTCCTCCTTCTTCGCGCTCCTCCGCCGTCCTCCGGCTCCGCCGACAGCACTCCTGCCTCCTCTCCAGCACTCCAACGATGAGGCAAGTGTGTTGTCGCACAGTGGCAGATGGAGGCAAGTGTGAGGCAGGTGGGGGACAACTGCCTCTTTTGTAGTGGCTTAGGAGGGCAGCAGTAGCCTCAGCTGCCCCCAGGCAAAATTCATCACTTGCCTGGGACCGTTGATCTGAGCCAGATCAACGGACTGAGGCTGTCTCCCCTCAGCCACACACTTAGGGTGGCGGTTGTACTCAACTGCCCCCCTCTTTTTCTCCCTTTTCCTTGCACTCAGCCCCACAGTGAGTGCAAGTTCAACGGAAAAATGGTTGTTTCCAGCCAAGTTCCCCTCACTAACCCTCCAGTTCACAGCCTCTGGCCTGAGTCACATTCAGGCCAGATTGGCTTGTATTTGATCGTAGCCGTGGCCACATTCGTGACCGTTGCTTTTTCTTTTTTTTTTTCCTTCCTTTTAATTCAGCTATCTCGTGCTATCTCGGATTTTCACGAGAGAGCTGAATTTCTGACATTTCCAAATCTGTTTTTCTTTTGTTTTTCTGATAAGGGGATGAAAAGTTACAGTCCCTTTCAGTTTGATGTATCTGGGCATTTTTCCCAGTGCAAATACATCAAGGAAAAGGTTGTACTTGGCCTTTTCCCTCAGGTGACTTTTAAGTTTCCAGGCTCCCTTTAAAACGGGAGCCTGATAGTTACCTCTGGCAGCTTGTGCCAGAGGTAGCAGCTGGTGAGGACAAGTGTCCTAAACAAAAAAAAACACACAGAAAACAAAAGAAAAAAAAAAAAAAACTTAGATCCCCACAACTGTACTGTTCCTGGCTTTTATCTGAGCCAGGAGCATGCAGTTGGGGCCAACTGCATCTCCCTCACTTTTGGTGCCCCCTCTGAAAACGGGGAGGACAGTTGTCAGAGTTGGGAGGAGTAGGGAAACAACTCGTGAAAACTCACGAGTTCAAATCCCGACAGGCTCAGAGCGGGGTGCAAAAAGTACCCCAACTTTGATGATTTTGAGAAAAATATTCGCTTAACAAAATTCATGCACATGGCCTAGGTGCCTGACTACCTACAGAAAAACAATCAAGGCCAACAAAATTGTTTTACGCCACAGAAACAATAGTGGCGCAAACCGAAAAATACAGATTTTCAAAGAAAAATCAGATCCTGTTTCTCGTTTTCTTTTCTTTTCTTTTCTTTTTTTTGTTTCCCCCCCTGACAACGGGGAGGCAGCTGGCAGGTCGGGAGGAGCAGGTCCTCCTCTCCCCATCCTCCCATTCCTCTCTCTCTCTCTCTCCACTCAACTCCTCCAATCCCCTCTTGCTTTCCGCGTGTGAACTGTGGGCCGCGGGATCTTGGCCACAGTTATCTGTCCAAAACGAAGTGGGAGCTATTGTGCTCTCGCACAGCCCGAAAAGACTATTGTTTTGTTGGTTCCGTTTTTATGCCCCTACATGCCCATGTAATGGCATACTCACACTGAAACTTACCTCGTTGGCCCAACCGTTGGCACAACAACAAACTGCGGAATGCAGACCCAAGTTCAAATCCAGCCGCAAAGGGGTGGGGCAGACCAATTCCTACGACCAGAAGCCTCGCCCCACTCCCCCACCTATGTGCAAAACGAGAGTGAATCTCTTGCTAGAACATGGAAAGATGTAGCGTCGTGATTTTTGTCTTTTGTGCATGTGGTGAGTAGTGGAGTGGTGTTGCCCCCCCCTTTCACTAGTGGTGCCCATTTTCTCTCCGCCACGTCGAAAGTGGGGGGATTAAAAAAAAAAAAAAAAAAAAAAAAAAAACAACTTACCGAAAAAAACAAACCACTTGACGCTCAAAAAACGGTGTCCGTTTTWYTTCCTCAGGGACTGCAAGTCCCTGTCAGCTCTACGCGCGCCACTCGGCGCTTTTTTTTTTTAGTAATAAAGCCGTTGACATAAGCCAACGGCCACGGTTTCCTCCCCCCACGCCTTGCAGGCTCGAGTTCGATTCCCATCGAGGAATCAAAAAAAAAATCTGGCCTTTTCTTGATTTATGCGCGTCATCCTTGCGCAGAGGTCATGCTCAATCCAGGGCGGCTGTTCCTGGCCGTGTGATCCTGC